CTGCCCCAGAGCCCACCTCTGTGCCAGCTCTCAGAGCTGGTTGTCTCGCCTGTAAATGAGCATGCCTACAGATAAGGGAAAGCACCTGGACAGATTGTGTACTCAGCACTCTCAGCTGCCCTGTTTTTAAATAACCATTGAAACCGAGGAGACAAAAGATAAACAAGGAGGAAGAAGCAAAAAGAAGCTGAGTCTAGAAGCATCGAAGAGCCTGGGTCTTTCTGTGTAAATAGTCCATCATTAGGAGGAGTGCCCAGATGTGGGCTTGGCCCTGCAGTGAAGACACGGGGAATCCCTCAGAGAACATGTCCTGATTGTTCTACCACATTTAACTAATCCCTTATCATTTAGTTTCCCTCATCTGGACAATCTAAAACAAAAGCCCAGAATAAACCCATTTGGCAACAGTATTATCATAAAGTAGGGGTGTGTGTGTGTGTGTAGGCATTCACATGCCGCTGTGCCCATGTGAAGGTCAGGTTCTCTCCTACCACCTTGTGATCTGGGAGCGAGGGGTCCCAGTCATCATGCCTGTCCACTAGTGCCTCTCACATCTCCCTAAAATAGCGTCATTAAAGATCATAATTTATTAATACTTCAAGTGAATTAATAGCACTTCTCTATACTAAGTAAATAATACACCTTTTTGTTTATTCTCTAGAATTAGCCGGGCTTTTATGGCTAGTTTCAACTTAGTTCATTTAAACCATCATTAACTAAAGTTGGGCTATAATCTTGACAGATTAGCTGCACGAATCTTCCAGAGCTCAGAGGTTATAACATGTAGATAGCATTTGAAAATGTTCGAAAGCAAGTATCCTTAGTTTATATCATAATTAATTGTTTTTGAACCAATTCTGGAAATGTTTGCAAGTTGTCTGTCTTCCTGTTCTCTTGTATAGCCTCCCTTCTTTGGCTTTCTCCATAGGTCCAAAAACATATATTAGATATTTTATATATAAATATACACATAGATATCATAAACCTTAAATGGAGATAGAGACTGCCTGCAAGACAGTGTCATGCCATAGTAAATAGATTCCTAAGTTTTGAGGAAGGACTGCTAGGAAGGTATATATTAAATATACTAAACCGTATACACGTATAACTCTTTGCTGAAAAATTCTTCCAAAAGTAGGAGTAATTTTCTCTTTTCCTAAATTAAATGAAATATATATCATTACCTAAAATCATTTTCTGGACCACTGTCGGAAAAGTGTGACATTCTCGTTCCTATTTAAACTACTTTAAGAATTTGAGCTAGGGTATATAAAAATGACATGATCTGTCACTTTTACAACCCGGCCCCAGAATAATCACAGCCCAAATTACTTATCAAGCATTGCTAGCCGAGGCTGTAGATTGTTGCTAAGTAGCTTACACATACTTTCTGAATGACCGGGTAAAAGAAACCCTTATTTCTTGTAACTATCTACTCAGATATAATACCTTGTGCAATCTTGCCACTTTTTCAGCCAATGAGATTAGCAAAATGAGGTATCTAGAGAAATGATTGAAGCTTATTTCTTCAATGTGGGTTCTCATCGAAGTACCTGCCTTTGATTTCAAATTGTTTTTCCATTAGCTCGAAGCATAGCTGGACGCATGAGTCCTCTCCACATCTAGCCTAATGTAACTATTTCAAGAGAGTTTGCAGCTCATATCTCGAACACCAAATTGCTTCTTCCTGGGATGCCTCACGGTGCTTTTTACAGATTCTGATGTGGGTGCAGGTGCCCTCCAAAGCCAAGACAGTGAGTGGCTCCTGCAACTCACTACAAATTACCTGCCCTGGATCACATATTCCTGACAAACACAGTAATGTGTGAATAAATGGTTTTCTTTGTAAATTATCCCTTACTCACCCCTATTTTTCTTTGAGATCCTTATTATTCAGAAGCAAACTCTGGAGGTCTGTATTTGTTGTTACCTTTTTGATTGTGTATGTGAGTATGTGTGTTGTGAGTTTTTTTCTTTAAAGCCTGTTTGAATTGAGGTATTTCCATTGCAACCCCCCCTTCACTTTAATTGTGTGTGCATATGTGTATGTGTGCGTGTGGAAGCCTAGGGTGTTATTCCCCAGGAGCCTTGCACCTTGTTTTTTGAGACACAGTGTGTCATTGGCCTGGGGCTCACTGATTTGGCTAGGTTATCTGGCCAGTGAACCCCGGGGATCTTCCTGTCTGCCCCCACTAGCACTGGAGGTACTTGTAACCACATCTGGCTTTTTTTAAAGCATATTTTTATTCTTTTGTCAGTTTCATACATGTATATATTGAATTGTGGTCATTTTACCCCATCACCTTCTCTCATCGAAAGCTTTCTTCTTCCCCCAAAGCCCCCTCCACTTTCATGCATATGTGTGTGGGAGCCACTGAGTTTAATTAGGGCTGCTTGAAGGGACATGGGTAAGAGGCTATTTTCTAGAGCATGGGCAGCTTATAGGTGGTTATGCTACTAAAGAAAGCGACCCCTGCCCCAGCTGCTATTGTCGGTGGTCCTTCAGGGGCTAGAGATGGCTTAGGGCTGAGACCGTGTCAGTGCTCCTCCCTAGGACCTGAGACTCTTAACAACCACATCAAGTGGCTCACAACTGCCTGGAACTAGAACTCCAGCTCCAGGGGGATCCAACTTCTTTGGCCTCTGTGTGCACCTGCACTCATGTTCACACACCTACATGTAATTTAAAATATTTTTAAAAATCTTTCAAAATAAAATTAGAACACTCAAAATCTACTTAAAAGATTTCTCAGGGAGGGATGAACCATATTCCCTACTATGATGAAATGTTGACAGGCCCAGTGTTGTGCACTTCTGTGCATACACATCTGTAGATACATATCTCATACACATCTGTAGATACATATCTCACAGATGTAGTGAGATCATGGGGATAACCACCATATCATGTTCAGAAGACATCTTTTTGCAGCTTACTTCCCCATCCTCCAGTTCTTCTGTTCTTTTTGTCCCTCTTCCAAGGTTCCCTAGGCCCAGGAGAGGGTGATACAGATATGCCACTTTGGCCGAGAACTTCGCCATCTCTTATTTTAAGCTCTTTGACTGTTTCCGTGTCAGTCGCTTCCCAGTTAATAAGAAACTTCTCTGACAAAGGCCAAGAGTTGTCCTAATCTGTGGATATAAACATGAGTATTTAGAAGGCATTTGACCACATCTGTTTAGCAAAGCAGCAGTCATGAGTTTCCCCTGGGGACTGTGATCTTCCCTGGTTTACAGTACTCAGCATATGCTGTCTTCCGCCCAGGGATCAGGCCTCAGATGCCATCAGAAAGCTTGGTTCCCCCCATGACACTCAATACCTGGTGTCTTTACGTGTGTTCCAGGAACTGAACTCAAGTTTGCCTGATTATCCAGGAGGAATCTTGCCAACTAAGCCCTCTTTCCAGCCCCAGTCTTTGGATTTTTAAGAGACAGTTGTGTGTCTCTGAGTTCCTGCACATGTTACATACATAAATAATTCTAACAGAATCTTGTAAAGAGCCCACTTTTCTCTGAGTTTAACACAGTCCTTTACTGTCCTGAGTGTTGGGGCTTGGTGCGAGTTAAGTCCTTGGAAATTAGTTAGGTTAAATGAGTCTTGATTTATTTAACTTAATAACATAGAACAAAATGAAATGAGGTCCCCCTTGCTTTTCATGTTAAGGCTATTGCCTTTGATTTCATAGGCAATTACCTCTGCATGTTTAACCCCAAGTGTCAGCTAATGTAAGGGCTCTGAATCACATACGACCTTTTTCCTTTTTAGTTTTCATCTTTTCTCATTAAAACAAGCTATAAATGAAGCCTAAGTTACCTTCCCAGTATGTCAAACGATTCCAAAGATGATAAAATGGAACCATTGGTACTGATCTGCATGTGCCAGTTGATGGCAGGCTTCTTCAGTGTTCTCTGGTAACAGAGAACTTGCTACTGCTCTCTGTCAGTGACATGATTTTCTTTGGTGGGTGACACTGCCTGTCCTGGTCTTAGTGTTTGTGTCCTTCTTCCATCTTTCCTCTGTGATTAGTATGTCTGCAGAAAACGATTTAGAGAATGTGTTTCTAGTTCAGTTTGCTTATAGGGAGAGGGGAGAAAGCTACCCTGTTGCCCTGCTGTGGAAATCCATATGCCTCCTCTAGGCACAAGAGCGCAGCCCTGTCTCTAAATGTCTGTAGGAAAATCCTCTCCTCTCGGATTCACATTAACAAGCATCGCTACAGGAGATACCTGAGAGCTTATATCTTGATCCACAAGCAGAAGGTAGAGAGAAAGGCACACGGAGTGACACGATTCTTTAAAAACCTCAAAATCCACCTCTCGTGACAATAGCTCCTTTTAGCAAGACTGCAGTCCGAAATCCTTCCCAAGTAGTTCTACCAAAAGGGGGCCAGTGTTGGAACAGATGGGCCTCTTAGGGCCATTTCTATTCAGATCAGCACCTTATTGTTACTGCTACAGAGATGTTAGGAATATCACGTTCAGTTGTTCTTGTTATGCAGCATAGCAGCTGGACCAGCATAGACGCTGGGTTTGAGATATATGTGAGTAAGATCACACAATTTGTCGGAGACATAACTAGTACAGGAAAACAGAAGCAGGGCCAGGCAGAGTGGTACACTCCTGTAATCCCAGCATCTGTCAAGCTAAAGAAGGAGGGTTTCAAGTTCAATGCCATAATGGGCTATATATCAAAACCTATCTCCAAAAACCAAAACAACAAAAATAAAACACCAAAAATCAGATGTGTCCTAGAACACTACATAATACTATAGTGGTTCAGATAACAGTAGAAATGAAAAGAATGTATTTATTTATAGTATTTGTGGTATAAAGAAACATGTCAGAGGACAGAGCAGTATTAGAGATTTCTCAGAGGGTTGGAAAATAAGCAGAGGTGAAAGCGGGGAGGACTGAGGGCAGAGGGTAGGAATTCTGAGTGAGGTTTAACATAGGAAAAGGGTAGAACCATTGGTCATTTGTGTATCTACCTTTGTTTTCAGAATTTTCCCCAGAGAATACCTCCTTCAACACATCCACCTGTATTCTCTTGCTGACCTGCAGCAGGTAAGTTCTCAGAGGGGCCTTTCAGTTTTGTTTTCTGTCAGAAGTCACTTTGTGGATTATGGTTTTGGCACGAAATTAATCTGTCTTGTGGTAGTTTCTTCGCACTCAGTTAATTTTTACTCTGAATGAGAGGGAGATTTAGTCTGAAAAGATACTGTGAGACAATGACGAGCACCCAAGCATGGAGTCACTGGGGCTCTCTTCATTGCTGGTGGGATGCTGAGTGGACGACCATCTGGAGGGTGGTTTAGCAGCTCCATAAAGGTTAGATTTCCGTATAATCCAGGGATCCAACTCCCAAGTAGATGCCCAAGATAATGATAAAACGTATGTCCTTAGGAAAACTTGTGCGTGAATCCTGGGTGGGGTGATGTGCCCCTGCCCTTCAGCCATGAAGGAGACCGAGGCAGCTCAGGCCTCATGGCTGGAATAGCAAGACCCTGTCCCAAAACAAATCAAACAAAATTTTCATTTTTTTGTAAGAATGCCCAGTGCAACATGATTCACAATAGGAAGAAAGAGCAGGGAACAACCAGATGTTTATCAGCTGATGGGTGTTGTTTCTCATTATTACATAACATTGTCTAGCCATAACAATGTGTGAAACATTGGTACACTCTACAACATGGATGAGCCTTTGAATCCAGACAGGGAAAAACAGTTTAAGTGGCGTGTCCCACAGTGAACAATTCGTAGTGACAGGAAATAGATCAGTGGCTCCAGCCTCTGGAAAGATGGCGGTGAGGAGAGACAGCAGCCAGTGAACACAACCAGATAGGGTGCCTTGTGACTAGACTAAAAATAAGTCATTTTCTTTAAAATAATGAAGTTTACATGACATGAATATTTCAACTCAAAACTATGTGAGAGAAAAGATGGGGAGGCAGTGGGTGGCTGCGGAAATCTTACAGCTGAATGACTTGTGAAGTTTAATAAAGCTCAGCAGAGCACGGAGGAGTCGGAACCAGCTTTTGCAGTCTGTTACTGCACAACTTGTAATGATTGACCAGGTTAGCAGCCAGGAAGAAACCAAGGTTTGTGTGCTCAGTCCTAAGTTCTGAGTAGGCTTAGCTTTGGTTAATGATTTAAATCAACAGCGCACTCCCAAGACGCTGCTCAACACGGAAAGAAAGCTTTACTCTCTAAACAAATGCTGACTCTCTGAAGAACCAATCGAAAAATAATTGCGACAACTTTCAGAAATCCAGACTGCTAGGCGTCCGTCCTTGTTTTCATCCAGTTGTCTTAACCAAAAGGAGTGAGCGCAGCTTAAAACTCACCGAGGCCTTCAGTCATTGCCAGACTCTAAATTACTTTTCAAGGTTTCTAGTATATGTCTTTTTTTAATTTAAAAAAATTAAAACTCTTTTGTTAATTTTCATTTGGAGGCAAGACAGTTATTTCAAATGGAAGAAATAATATAACATTTAGTTGGATAGGCCTCAGAGAAGGCTAGGGCGAGTCTATATTCCTTGTCAAGTTTAGACCTGCTTGCTCCTTTAGTCCTTGCCACCCATGGAATTGGCTGGCTGGGGCACAGAGGGGCGCATCTCCAGCTTCAGTCACATGGTGATATACTGTATCATATGGGGGTGAATTGATGGAATTTTCTGATATACATTTATTTATCTTAGTGGTCTGTCTGATCATGGTAGCCTAGGGCCCAGGCACTGTCATGAAATGTTTAAAGGCACCAGACGCGCTCAGAAAGGTAGAAGTCTAAAACAGAGTGACTCCCCTTTAAGGAGCTCTGGTGTCAGAGGAAGAGAGAATTGCACCATTCCGTATCCATTTGAGGGTGTCAGCGGTGTGTATCCATTTGGAATAATAAGCCTGCTTCTTATAGCTTGCGTGTACCCTGCTGTCTCGCCCACGGCCCTTTCTTTTTCCTTCTTGTAATAATCAGACCATACAGGCCAAGCAGCTTACTTCAATCAGTGACAGTGGTGCTCTTGGGGAGCCAGGCCATTAGCCCCCAGAGCCCATAAGTAGCTTAATCAGTTTTCAGCCGGACAGTGGAGTGATAGAAACAATCTCCAGCTTATCAAAGTCCCTGTGGGCGGGGGCGGGGGTGGGGGCTCAGGGCATCCATTGGTGTAGCTGCTCGCTCTAACCTAGTTCTTTGTGCCTGGCTTTAAGAGCCCCAAACTTATCATATTTAGAGGAAGTTCAATTCAATTACTGCTTCTGCTTGAGGTGGGCCAAATTGCATTTGGCTTTTGATCTGTCTGTATCTTGGCTATCAGCCCTGAAGGGTATCCCTGCTCATCTCCCTTTGGTTTCTGGGCCAATAACGAGTATGTTTTCTAGGTTTGAACTGTTCTCGGATATAGGGAAGAGAGGGGACCTGGAGCAGGAGAAACAATGTTAGCGTTTTTGTGTAAGAGCGTATCAGGGTAGCAGGAACCCTTCCTGGCCGTCCAGCCATAAGCCTCCAAGGATCTGAGACTCCTGGTCTCTCCCTTCCAGGCTTTTCCCCTTCAGGACTGCTGGAGTCGGAGCTTTTCTCCCATTTGATTCCATTTCTTACTCATAAGGGCTTCTATAAAGACAAAATTTTCTATCTTATTTGATAACTATGGAAAAAGGAATTTTTAGGTATATGTTTTATAGTGAAAGAAAGGAAAATTAATAAATTATTGAAAAGTTATAGCTCCTGAACAGTATAGAGTCCTTTTTTTTTTAACTTTTACAAATTTCCCTTATGAGTTTGATTTTTTTTTTAAAGAAATTAAAAAAAAAAGGCTCTGATTTACTAGGCATCCTAGCTGGTCCGTGTCTCAGAGGATAAGGCTCGTGCTGCTAAGCGTGATGAGCTGTTTGATCCCCAGTATCCCCAGCACAGAAGGAGAGGACAAAAAGCACATGCACGTGTGTGTGTACACAATCACACACTCACAATAATGGATACAATAAAGAGGAAGTTGAAGTTTATGAGTAATTTTAAAGCACTGATATTATTTAAAGATGCTGAAAACATTCTGGTACCAAAAAAATGCACCGCTCATGGTTCATTTTTATAACACCCCTCAAAATTTTGACAAATGTGCTCAATCAACTATGGCTGAAGACTTTTAGCTACCTAATAGATCTTTTGTTACAGTCAAGAAACTATTTTAATTTTCTGCCCCGGGAATATACTCATTCTTACTACAGTATACTTGGATATGCGGGGGAAATTGCAAGTCCTGACGGTTTCCTTCCCATTAGCTGAGAATTGCTGTAGTTGCTGGTCAGCTGTGTGCTGGGGCTAAGTCTCCAGTGACCTGTGCTTCTCCAGCGACTAGACTGCTCTCTGGATGTCGTGTGCACGGAGGACAGCAGGGAAGCAGCACGCTGCGTGGCCTGTCAGTGGGCAGCGTCTTCGGGAGCCATGGGCCACTCTGACCTAATGGCAGGGCCGAGGACCTGGCATATTAGGGAAGGCAAAGGTTCTCCAGTTCCTGGGAGGTCTAGGGCCTACCAGCTTGATACACTAGTTTCTTCAGACTGGATTCCAGAGGAATTTTGTTCAATAAATAGGGTAGCTGGAAATGGTATTCAGGCTGAGGTGGTGGTGGCACACGCCTTTAATTTCAGCATTCGGGAAGCAGACGATCTCTGTGCTCAAGTCCAGCCTGGTCTACAGAACAAGTTCCAGGATAACCAGGTTATGGAATGAGACCCTGACACAAAAAAAGACAGAAAAACTTAGTTTGTTTCTTTTTAAAGACATTTTTTTATTCCTGTGTATCTATTATACTTGTGTGTTGTGTCCACAGAAGCCAGAAGAGAGTGCCAGATTCCATGAAGCTGGAGTCACAGGCAGTCATGAGCCGTCCAACATCAGTGCTGGGAATCACACTTAGGTCCTCAGTAGGAGCAGCAAGAGCCCTTTCCAGCCCCTGCTATTGAGGTTTTTGAGGGAGACCTTGTTTTGTTTGGGGTACTTTTGTTGTTTGTTTGTTTTTGGTTTTTGCTTTTTTTGAGACAGGGTTTCTCTATAGCTTTGGAGCCTGTCCTGGAACTAGCTCTTGTAGACCAGGCTGGTCTCGAACTCACAGAGATCCGCCTGCCTCTGCCTCCCGAGTGCTGGGATTAAAGGCGTGTGCCACCACCGCCCCGCTTGTTATTTGTTTCTTATACAAAAGAATTATGAAGACTTTCTTTTGGAAGTGCAAATGCATGCTGATTTTCAAATTCTCAAACGATTTCAAAAAGGCCAAGCAGACAGCTACTAAGCTTTTGTGAACACATGGGGCACGTAAAAGTGAAAAAAAAAAGATTTTTTTTTTTTCGAGGCATGGTTTCTCTGTGTAGCTCTGGTCCTGAAACTTTCTGTAGACCAGGCTGGCCTCAAACTCAGATATCTGTCTACCTCTTCCTCCCCAGTGCTGGGTTAAAGATATGCACCACCACCGCCTGGCAAAAGTGGAATTTTTTAATAGTCTCAAAATAAAAACCAAGGTAGTAAGGGCCATATGTGAAACAACAAATAAATGACTTCTGATTTTTTATTTGTTCCCAGCCGCTTAGCCTCGAAATAACCACACAGAAACTGTGTTAATTAAATCACTGCTTGGCCCATTAGCTCTAGCTTCTTATTGGCTAATTCTTTTTTTTTTTCCACATAGGAGGTTTATTGGAAGAGAGGAGGGGCAGAGAGGGGACAGAGACTGGTGCCTGGGGATAAGAGTAACAGGAGAGGGAAAAGTAAGAACAGGGAGGGAGAGGGAGAGAGAGTTGGCTAACTCTTACATCTTAATTTAACCCATTTCTATTAATCTGTGTATCACCTCATGGCTGTGGCTTACTGGGTAAAGTTCTGGCGTCTGTCCCCATGGCTTCTCTCTGACTCCGCCCTTTTTCCTCCCAGCATTCAGCTTAGTTTTCCCCACCTCGCTCTGTTCCCCTATAACTCTGCTATAGGCCCAAAGCAGTTCCTTTATTTATCAATGGTAATCACAGCACACAGAGGGAAATCCCACATCATATGTATACACACACACACGTGCACACAT